TATTTAATATGATATTTAAAATTTAAAAATTTTTAATATAATATTTTAATTATAAATATATTAATTAATATGATATTCAACTCTAACGTGATTAATTTTAAATGATAATATTTAACGAACAAATAACTTTTTAAATATTATATTAATTAATATATTTATTATTTATATATATTATATTTTTTAAATTTCATTGCCAAAATTAGTAAAATGATACAAATCTTCTAAAATATAATAAAAATTTAAAAATATATATGATAATAATTTAATTTCATTTATGAAATTAAAATGTCATATTGCAGATGCATAAAAAATAAATCAATTAAAATTGCTTGTAAAAAAAATTTAGTGCAATCCGTTTGGCCCATTTTTTTTTGTTTTTTTTAAGCCATAGTCCAAAATTGTGTTTGCATTATTCCACATGTCCCATGATTGAAAATTTGAAATTAAACACAAATAAATCTTTTCAAAAAGAAATTCTTGATGAGGTAATTAATAAATTTTTTTTTTTTCATAAATAATTTTCTTCTTTTTGTCAAGCAAGAAAACAACAGATCGCACGAAACAAGCTTTCAAGAAAACGACACCATTCTATGTGCAAAACAACACAAAGAGAAACGCCCAAGGCCAAGGCCGTAAACCCGGTGACAAGTTTATTCTCATCGGTTACTTACGTAGTTACGTGCCAAAACCAACCTCAACAACCAATTCCATTTCGCCACGTATGCAAAAACTGGCAGCCAATATGCCACGTCACTAAAGCACCATGGAATCCATTTCTTTATTTTTTTTTTGTCTCCCTTTCTCTCTCATATACTGACTATTCATTTTTCTCTCTCGAATTTTCTCTGAAAATTTGGCAAAGCCTTGTGAGATGTGAAAGGAAAGGGAAGTTGGGTTCTTTTGTTTGACTCCAAAAATGGCTTCTTTGCACTGCAATAATCGGGTAAGAGATTCTTGCTTTAGTAACGCACACTATGGAAGATCATGTTCCAAAGCTCAAGCTTGTCTCCAAAAGATTCTTCATATAATTTCAACTATCCGACCACCATGTGAAAATAACCCAAACCCTTTTAAGAAGAGAGGGTTTGAGATTGACTTAAACTTAAGGTTAGGTTCTTTTATCGATGATGATGAGAGTGAAGAAAAATCTGAGTCTTTAGCCGAGAATAGCTTCGTCGGCAAAAACCCAGAAGAAGAAGAAGAAACTGAAGAAATTCAAGAGAAGACAGCTACAGCTACAGCTACAGCCACGGATGTTTCTTCCGATGTCACGGAAATACAAAAATGCGACCAGTTTAAAAGCAGTACTGAGGGTGAGGTTAAAACGGCAGCAGCGTATAATGATTCGTTGGATTTGCTTATAGAAGCGGCGGAGATGATTTCAGACAGGGATTATTGTCTGAATGAAAAGGATAAGGAAGTTGAAGAGGTTGAAAAAAGTGGGGGGTCAATGGAAGGGAATAAAGACAGCTTGGTAAACGATGTAGAAGAAGGGTTCGAGGAATTTGAGGATATATCGCCGGTGGTTCGATCAAAGAGAGGGAGGAGTCAGGTCTTGCCACATAGATTTAGAGACTCCGTTTTGGAACCATGGAAGAAGCGACCACAGAGATCAACAACAGTAGCAGCCGTGGTTTCAAAGAAGAAACGGAGGTCGGGGTAAAAAAGAACAGCTGTAAAAAAACAAGAAGGAAAAGTGAGTTTTTTTTTACTGTTATTGTGTTGGTCTGGAAAGTGGGCAAAGCGAAATGCATTTGGTAAACCAGAGAATCTGAGTCAAACTATCAAGGGTAACTGCAGATTTCAGATTTTTTTTTTAAATCTTTTTAATGTAGTAGTAATGAATTATAGTATTATCCAGTTGTACTGTTTGATAAAATTATAAAATCTTTAGCCTTTTCCCTTTTTTTTTTTTCTGTAACAATTTTAATTTAAAAAAAAAAGGCCTATGAGTCATAGAGTCTAAGAGATGATGATTGGCTTAGAAATTATGGTGGTGAAAACTTCCAACTTTGGTTGATTGTCTTCCTTTGTCGTGTGTAGCTCCAGGTTTGCAAAACAGTGTCACATGTTCAAAGTTAGGGCCCCAGTTTCAGAACCCAAACTTTTACCCACGTTCTTTTTACGGCGTTCTTTTTTTCCTTGGGTATTTCATTTTACCTCAGTTTCCAATGATAGTTATTATTATTATTTTTTAAATGTTAAGGTAGTTAGATCAAACAACTTTTTCTGGTTCAAACTCGTAATAAAACATGAAAAGATTTAAAACTACTACTACTATTTTACACTTGATTGGATGCTAAAGCTTCAAAAAATTTCATTTCATGTCAAAAATTTGTTGGTCCAACGTAGCATTTCAAGAGAAAATATCTAATGACAAATATATTATTCAATTTCTTAGATAAAAAAAATATATTATACTGAACAATTTAAAAAACAGTAATTACATATCGAATATTTGAATGACTACAATAAAAGTTCACCAAATGAACGTAAATCCTAAACCACTTACATCAAAAAATTGATCCTACCAATTGAACTCGCCTCATACCAAGGTTATGAAAAGATACTCTTACAGTAGTAAGTAGTCTTGTGAAGTAAATGTCTGAACAGAAGACATAGTAGCTGGTTATAACTCAAACCGTAAATCACCAGCGCACAGCAGAAAGCAGCTATTCCTCAACCAAATGTTAATTTCCCTTCATATTCTTTCTGCTTAATTTTGAAACTCTCTGCTTCCTCCTTGAAATAGAGAAAGAATTGCCTCCAATAGGTGAAAGCTATTGACATAAGCAAAAACCAGCCCGGCATTACAATTTACGCGATGCAGAGTCCAGATACCCCAAGTAAAATGACGTCGCAGTAAACTCATCATCATCGTCATTTATTTATCTTACCCCTCCAGTTAAGCCCTCTCATTTGACTTTTCAACAACAATTTTGTAGGAGAGAAAAAAACAATATTAAAAAAAGAAAGGAACAAGAGAGAATAAAGGAGTAAAATTAAGAGAAGAGATTGGTATCTCGGGATATTGTCTTTCTCGAAGTTTTCTGCCTCGTGGTTTTGCAGAAACTAGTGAATTAGATGGGGAGTCAAAAAGGAAAGGCGTGAAGCTCCGTTCCCTTTTTCTTTGGCTCTTTCTTTCCTGTTATATCAATGGATTCGCATAAATTCCTTGGGGGTAAAGGAGGGCGATATTCGAAAGCTCAAATGTGCTTGCAAAAGATCCTTAGCATCATTTGCTCTATTCCTCCACAGCATCAACAAAACCCAGAACCCAAACCATCTTTCCATCATCATCATCTTTTTCTTCTTCAAGTACTTGATTCTTCATCCTGCTCAAACTCTGGGGAAAAGGCTCAGCCTTTTGGTCATCTGGGTTTCCATATTGACTTGAACCTGGAGTTGACTTCTTCTTCGCCAGAAACTGAAACCAGTTCTGTTGGTATAGATTCTAAGGAAGCCAACTCAAATCAAGAGAAATGTGCAAAAGAAGAGAATTTCTTTGAGGAGAGAAGAAACCCAGCATCAGAAACCGGCGTTGAAGATGAAAAGATAAAGAAACCGCCGTTTTACAGCATCGAGTTTGGACAGGAGGAAGTTTCTTTACCTTTGCTTACTGAAGCAGGAGAAGTGAGTTCGGAAAACGGCTAGCTGCAGTGTGGTGAACTCGTCACTGAGTTGGGAACACAGGAGGTAAACGGTAATGAATCGGTGCAGGAAGAGAGAGAGTGTTGGGCGGTGAATTTGTACGGACGTTTCGATGAGGTTTCACAGTTGGTTAGAACGAAACGCGGGAGGAGACGGATTTTGCCGTGCAGATACAAGGGATTCGGTGCTTCAGCCGTTGGCACGGAGTGTGTCAGTTTCCAGCATAAGGCCACACGATTGCTAGCTTCAAGACCAAAGCACGTGACAAGTGCAGCTTCTAGGAAACGGCACCGTTTAAAGCTGATGAAATCCATGTTATAATAACGGATTGTTGGGTTTCCTTAAATATTTAGATATTCCGTTTACCTTTTTTAGCTTTCAATTTGAAGGGATTCGAAGTTAAAAACTTATTCATTGAAATATACATATAATTACTAATTAAAATTATATATCTATTTATATTGTTTTAAGTTTAATTTGCATGTAAAAATAAAGAAATTTGAAGAATCTTAATTTAATTAAAATTGATTGATATGTACAATTATTTTTTAAATAAATTAATGTAATTTTATTCGTTTAAAAGTAGTATAAATAATTTAATTTACATAACCATAAATTTTTTAAAATTAAAAATAAGATAAATCAATTAAAAATCGATTCATTAAGATTCCAATTAAGCCACGTAGAAATAGTAACGATAAAATTTTCCAAGAAAAGTTCTGGAAATATCCTTCCTATAAAAGTACGTAGAAGATTGTGTAGCTCAAACGCTCAACAGGTTAACTTTTAAAAAATAAAAATCAAAATATATTCTTTAAATTTTTTATTTTTTATATTTATGTAAAATTTTTATAAATATATTAATATATATTTTAAATGAAAATATATTAGTTTTAATGAATTTAAAATAATAATTTGTATTATTTAATAAAAATTATTTATTAAATATATGTAAATAAATATGTAAAATATGGATAAAGATATATAGCCAGTGCTATATTATCCCTTTCTATCTTTTAATAAAAAATTTTAAATCATACCTATCCCTATTCTTAATTTTATAATATAATATTTATTTCTATCTATATTCAAATAAAAAAATCAAATTCTTTGTTAAATATAGTTAAAATTAACGTCCTTAATTCTAAATTAAACTTAAAAACTCTTATGGTACAATAAAGAAGTTCAGTAAAAAAAGCTTTGGGTTTGATAAAAGTTAAAAAAAAAATCAAAGGTCATGATAGGGTCACAAAATTTTCAGAGGCCCAAAAAAATTGGGTTAAAATCCAAAAATGGAGCCTACGAACCCTAAAAATTAGAATAAACATTGCCTCGCGGAACTTGCTTATAAATTCATTTCAATGCCCAGCCATTTTCTCTCTCTCCCGCTCCTCCTACTATAGCACTAATTCTCCCCATCACAAAAACCCTAGCCTCCTCTTTTTCTTCCATCCTCATCATCCATGGAGTTCTGGGGTAAACCCTCTTTCTTTTACTTTTGATGCTTTCAGCTTTCAGCTTTTGCTTCCATTTCATTTTGCTGCTTTCTTTAAATTTTTTCTTTTATTTTTAAAAGTCGCTTCTGTTTTTGGAACCTTTGATCTTTCCTTTTTCTTTTTCTACTATTGAAATAACATCAGTATACTTGAAGAAAAGTTGGCCCTGGGTATAAACTACACTGATTGATCATTAGTTTACTTTATTAGTATGTTTTTGCACGTTGTAGGCTTTGGGTTCTTTTCATTTTTTGTGGTCGTTGAATGAAGCTAGTTGAAAATGGTTCATTTGTGTTTTTAAATAGCATGAATGAAATATGTTTTTTTCAATAATCATTAGAAATGATGCTTAAGGGCACTGTTTTGACCATATACTTCTGATTTATGTTTAAAGAGATGCTTGGATTGTTGTCTCGTAGTTTGTCTAATTAAATGTAATTGTCTTTTATGTTACCATTAGGTATTGAAGTTAAGGCTGGACAGCCTATTAAAACAGACCCTGGTGCCAGTTATGTCATCCATCTTTCTCAGGTTAGAAGTGATTTGCTTGTTTTTGTTGATATTGTTGTCTATTTTTTTCTGTCTAACGTAAACTGCAATGCTGCTTGTGTTTTAGGCATCGCTTGGCGAGTCAAAGAACAAAACAGAATCTGTTCCCCTCTATGTGAATGCTGATGGGAAGAAACTCGTTCTTGGAACTCTTTCCCACCAGAATTGCCCTCAATTATCTTTTGATTTAGTATTTGACAAAGACTTTGAGCTCTCTCATAACTGGAAAAATGGGAGCGTCTATTTCCTTGGTTACAAAACTTTTGTGCCGGAGGAAGGATATCCTTTTGTTAGAATGAATTAATTTTGTTTTTTTTTTTTATAACCAAACTTTTGTCTTTCGTGAATGTGAAGTATGCTTATGCAATCTTGTGCATCCTTGACTCTTATGCTGTTTCTTCTCACCACTGATGACGAATTGGGTGAGTCCTATAATACATTTTGCCTACTTGTAGTTTTCTTGTCTTGATAAAGTATTTCTTATGCATATTATTCTTATATACAGATATGTCTAGTGAGGAGGAAGGCAGCGGGGATGAGGAGCCTCCTGTGGCAGCTGCAGAAAATGGTAAGTTCTTCCTGTCCTAGAATTTATATTAGTTGAAGATTTAATTAATTCTGACTCCATGCTGGCAAACATTTTCTTCCACTGTAGGAAAAGCTAAGGCAGATGCAAAAACAGCTAAGGCTAATGCCGGGAAACCTGATGCTGTAAAACAAGCTGTCAAGATAGAAGAACCAAGTAATAACAAGAAAAGTGAGGATGGTGACGATAATAGCCATTCTGAGGATGAAAGTGGTTCTGATGAGGAAGATGATTCTGAGGATGAAGATGAGTCTGATGAGGTTTCTTTTTAACCTTTCTTTTTGTCTAAAAATAGTGAAAATATAAAATGTTTTTCTATTCCTTGTAGAAACGTTTGAAATGAAATGCATTAGTAGTGACTTCATGTTGATCATTTTTTAGGATTTCAGTCGGTTCATTTTCATTACTTCATTTTCCCATCTACTTGAACTAATGATTGATACAGTTGGATTAGAGAAATTTGAATTTTCTGTTTTCTGGACAGATGTCCATGGATGAAAGTTCAGACGATGAGGATGAGGAGACACCCAAGAAGGTATGTTTGGTAGATTGTAAGTGGTTTTTGAATTTTGGAATCTGACCTGATTCCATAAATGTAATTTTGTGTCTTTTGCTTTCAAGGTTGAGTCAAGCAAGAAGAGACCTGCAGAAGCTGCAACCCCTGTTTCTGCGAAAAAGGCAAAATCTGCAGGTACACCTCAGAAGACAGATCCTTCTCTCATAGTTCACATGAAAGTCTGCAATGTCATATATCTCTGCCTCTTTATCTGTTCTCTGCATTGTAATCAGGATTTGTTCATTCATTTTTTTATGATCTTCTGATTATTGTTTCTTGCAATTGCAGATGGTAAGAAGGGTGGTCACACGGCAACACCTCACCCATCAAAGCAGGCTGGGAAAACATCAGCGAAGAGTCCAAAGTCCGGTGGTCAATTCTCTTGCGGGTCTTGTAACAAGTACTACATATCAACAACTTTTAAAACCACTTCCAATTTTGATTGAGTTGGTTGTTGCTTTACTGACACCCTGCATATTACTATGAACAGGTCCTTTGGCACTGAGGGTGGTCTAGAATCTCACAAGAAGGCCAAGCATGGTGGCAAATGAGGTGGTGTTACATGCTCTTAAGTGCATGTTTAAATTTTGGGATAAGAGATGGCTTTGGTAGTAAATGAGGGGTTTATGGTTAAAAAAGACTTTGCGGGATCCTTAACTTTTGATTCCAAACTATCATTTTGGGTATTATTTTTAAGTTGTAATGTTGTCTGTGTTCTAATTGTCAGTTTTTATTTACATGGTCTTAATGAAAGGTTTATGTTTGCTGACTTGCTAAGGTCAGGGAATAATCAAAGGCAAATGGTAAATTTGATAACCACGAATAAGTATCTTCTTTAATCAAACGCCAAGAGATGCTTAACAATCTTAACACCCAACATGATTTGACGGTACAACAAACAAAAATTGTCAAGTCCAGCAATCCAGAGCCTCACTGATACCACTTCTAGCTTGTCCGTTAGGCACGGTGCGATAACCAATAACTTGCAGTAGAGCTGAGTTGAGGCTAGAGGTGCATCTGTCACAGCAAGTGGTTAAAAGAGAATAACTAGGGGTGCATTGAAACTATATCAGATAGAAAATAAAAGGTCGATGTTGGTATTTTACATTCTAATAAGTCAATTTTGTTAGGAGAAAATAATGATCACGTATCAAATGATAACAAAATTAATTTTTAATTTATTTTATTATACATCAAGTGTCTTAACGGAGATAAATAGGGTGGGTTAATTTGGTCACTTAATAAAATATGGTGGTAAAATTTTAATATCATCAAGCTTTGTAAAAAAGAGTAGGTAGTATGATAATCATAACGAGAACATCATAAGATTGAATAAAAAATAATGAAACGGCAAATGCTTAAAAAGAATAAACAAAATACATTAATCTTATATCAAATAAGAAAAGGAAGGTCGGATACATATAAATATTAGTACTGCATACCTTAATAAATCAATTTTACATAAATTTATTTTACAGAAAGAGAGTAATAGTCACGGGACCCTTTCTTGTTTCTTCTGCGAGTCTAAATCGGAGAAATCCTTTGACCTGTTTCTCTGGCACTGCACCCATAACCTGTAACGTACACGAACTCCATGATAAGCTGCAATTCAAAATACTGACCCGGTCCCCAGAATCAGGAATTCCTGAACCTGCAAAACTCAATCATGTTGATAAGATGATGGATTTTCCTAGCTGTAAATTTATGACTTTGAATAGAGAGACATCATAGGACACAAAACCCAATTTAGAACCATGAATCTCGTACAATAGCGTCGATGTGTGGTTAAAGCACACATGCACGAACAAGCTTTCATGCATGCATTCGGGACTGGAGTTTGTGTGATGAGTTTTGGCCGTTGGATCATGAATGATTGCTTGATGTTTCGAAAAGTGATAGAAACAATTATAGTCATATTTTTTCTCAAGACATCTCATAATCAGCTGGTTTGCCCGAGTGGTTAAGGGGGCAGACTTAAGATCTGCTGCACTCAAGTGCGCGTGAGTTCGAACCTCACAGCCAGCATGTTTTTGTTTTGTTTTGTTTGTTTAAAGCAATAATTTAATAGTTTAAAAAATCAGGCAGCTTCAATTGGCGTGCATCAGAGACTCGAGAGTTGTACTTTGTGATCAAGTAGGGAACCTTTTTGAGAAATTGAGTATTATGGAGGTTACTATATTGTTGACTAGATGGATAGTGAAGTGGTAATTTGTTCAGTTTTAGAGTGATTTTCATGGCTTTTCCAAATTTGTTAGTTTGCAAGCCTGAGTTTCTGTTTTCTACATGCTGCTAGGCTTTTGTTGGATGGTGCTCAGTTCCTTGAGAAGCCAAGCTCAAGCCTCCATCGTAACAGCCTTAAATAGAAGCCTATTACCTTTTGTTTTACGTATCCAGTTGTTGCACAATGAGTGAAAACGAGAAAAGCAATAACTACGAATTAACTTAGTATCTTCTTTTATCAAAGACAAATAGACTCTTTGAAGTGAATCAACATAATACATGATTCCGACAGTCCAACAGAACAAAAACCTGTCAAGCTAAGAACTAAATATAACAAATAGAAAGTTCAGCAAGTAAACCCTCGCTACTTCCACTCGTATTTTGTCATAAAATCAGATAACCATCACTTATAACTTGCAGTAGAGCTGAGCAGAGGCAGCTGGTGCTTTCTTGCATCTTCTGTAAGTTAAATAGGAAGGATCCTTTAAAACTAGTTTATACGAACCTGAACAACCTGGACACAAATTCTATGATAAGCAGCAATTAAAATAATGGGTTGGTCCCAAGAAGCAGGAATACCTGAACCTTCAAAACTCGATAACGTTGATGAGATAACAGATTTTCCTATAAGGAAATTTAAGAGTTTGAAATAGAGATAGATTATAAGAAACAAAACCCGATTTAGAACCATGAACTTTGATCGTTCAAGAGCCTGGTTGTGCGGTAGTCACATGGTACCTGACTGTAAATTTATGCACACACACATACGCAAAGAACCATTTTAATGCCTGCATTTTCCTAGTGCTAAAGGTTATAGCTTTCCAGCGATTTGACTTAGGTACAGATTCATATCCTCCCTTGCCCTACTAGAATCTGGAATGAATAAAAACAAAATGTTATGTCTAATGGTCATATTGGAATTGAAAGAACACAGGAGATCAAGGCCATAACAAGAGCTTTAGGAGAGTAGAGTAAACCAAGGTATTTTGATTTGCTTAAAATCTCATTTCGTTAGCAACCAGAAAAATCCAAGTTCAGATATGTTGACTGTTACCAAAAGGATGAAACTAATTGAAAGGCTGAATGAAAAAGGGCATGATTTCGAAACTGCTGAAACAGTGATTCAGTCAAGCACCATAAAGATGGTTGCAAAATGCATGGACCTAAAGGAAAAACGTATAACCAATTTCAAATTCCATATCAAAGAATTGTGAACCTGCACACCACCTGCACAGTGGAAAATGGGCCGTAAGCTATATTTTACTGAATGCTTGGTCTTAGTAGAAATTTTTCTTCTTCTACTGAGGAAGCAAAAGATGACAATAATGCTAGAAAAAGATTTAGAGACAAACCGGACAGAGTGATTTAATCAGCATTAATGGGCTCCCAGAAGCGGAGGCTACTCCTGCTGCTGCTGCTGAGAGTACTAATCATCGTTCTGCACGTATCCATTGTCACCATTCTCATTGTTATTATTGGCAGCATTTTTATCAAAATTTTTTGCATTTTCCCGTTGTTCCCTTTGACGATTCCATTGCTCAATTTTAGCAGGTCTCTCCTCACTGCCTTCGTGGACTAGGCTACAATTCCTCTTTCCCCCAGGGCTTGTACTTCGATGCCTTCTGCTCCGGCTCTCATGATAATTGTCCCTATCATCATGCCGTCTACTGTGGCCACGCCCACCATAAGAGCGCTCCTCATGGCTACTACGATGCTTGTGAGGGCTTCTGCTTCGGCTATAACTTTGCCTCCTTCTATAACTCCCAAATAACTGGTGCCTCAACTCTCTAATGAAGATCAACAAAATGAACAAATTTAGACCTATGAAAACAACGCCCATAAACAGGTAATGCTGATTTGAAGAAACATCCCACCTGCCAATTCTTTTATGGTGCATAAAATTGCAATATCCACCACAATTGCAAGTGCTCTCATCATATTGCCTACAAGTGGCTTCACGGAAGTCTGTCAGAGGTGAGAAGTCAACAATGATAGGATGGCCTGCAAAATGGAGTAAGTAATTACGTGATACAAGCATCTTTTGGAATACACTTCCAAACTAAGCAATAAATAGAATTAATACAAAAGAACAACTTAACAACACAAGCATCTATTACAAATTACGAAAAAATACAAACTAATAATAAAGTCTAAGGTAACAACACAATCATCTATGTAAATAACAAAATTACCAATAGATAGAAACTAATACAAAAGAATGTAACTTCGCAGAGACCCATCAATCTTGGATACAAGACAAAGTTAAGCTGGTTTGTGTTTTGTATAATTGCGTCAACTTGTTTTTGACTTTAAAATTTTCGTGGTCTTTACAGGTTGACCCGTCTAATTTGTATACTAACTATTTGTCTACATTTAATTAATTGTACTAATAGGCTAACCTACAATAAGCAACATATTTGACTTGTTTAAACCTATTTATTAAATTATTATTATTTAAAATACATAAAAATAACTTAATACACGTGTTGAAAAAATGGGTTAACTATGTCATACGTAATTGTATTTAAACACATTAACAGTGTCATGTCATCTGACTTTAAACGAGTTCATATCCAGGACTTTGACTGTTTGACATGATGAATTAATTGTGTCGTGTTCATGACCCATTTATATGCTATTCAATTATCAATGCATGACAAAATTACAACCCATTAGCATGAATTGCCAGCCTTAACATAGTCAACAAGTATTTGTGGAAATTCAGACCCATAACTGAACAACATATGTATATGTATATGTATATGTATATGTATATGTATATGTATATGTATATATAAACTAATGTAAGAAGACAGACGAAGTCAAACCAGCATAAAAGCTTCCACTAAGATTCTTGAGCACATTTGCGGCACGTTCTTCCTCTCTAAACTGAACATAGACATTGCCCACCTGTTCACAAAATTGAAGTGCAATTAACATATCAAATTATCAAACAAAAGATAATGCCAAATACGCATTGCCTGAGAAAATATTTACCATATGGTCAGCTAGGTTGTCACATTATGTTCAGACTCTCAATTTCACCATACTTGCTCAGTTCCTCAAACAAATCCTCATAAAAACCCTGCAAATTTAACATTAACATCTAAGACTCTCTGTTCGATTTGTTACGTTAACGGTTTGCTTGTCGCTATTGCAAGCAAATTAAAAATTTCTATTATAATAACCAAACAGAGCCAACTAAAAATAAATCATTAAAATTGATTAAATCGTAAAACCCTAATACATCACTTCATCGTAAAAGAAAAAAACATAACGTTTAGATTTGAAATGTTTTGGAGATTTACCTCGAAATGCTCTTGGATCTTGCGGGGGGTCAATGGGGTTACCCTGGGCGTCGACGCTGGGGGTGATCATGTCGGGCCGTTGGTACATGTTGGAAAGACGGAGAGTAGGGCTGACGGACGCTGGGCTTGGTGTGGAGACGGGAGCACGGGTCTCCGTGACGACACGCGCCTATCTTGAAATAAAACGGGCAGTTCACCCTATCCTTTTCCGTCCCAAATATCGAGTGAGATAGGAGTGTTTTCTGTATTGGAGTTTCTGCGATGGGATTGCAGCCGTTGGATCATGATGGCTTCTTTTCTCTAGATGTTCGGTTACAAAAAACGGTTTATAGCATACAATTTTTATCCCGACAAATTAGAAAAATATACTTTTCCTGACGAATTACATAAATTTGATTGGTTGAACCTGTAATGTAACACATAAAAATATGTTAGTTACACTCAAAATTAAATTAAGATAAGATAAAATAATATTATAAATAAAGTAAAATATTATTATTATTTTATATTTGATAAATAAAAAATTATGATAAGATAATTTATTTATTAATTAAAATTATTTTTTAAAATTTATATAATTTTTAAAGATAACATATGACATGTAAATTTAATATAATAAATTACAAATAATTTTTCTTGAGAGAATTAACTGATTTTATATAAAAATAATGATTAATCTTCTTTATAATCTTATTTTTTTTAAATATAAATTAAATATAATATATAATAATAATTATTATATCTTATATATTATCTTATACATTAAATATAATAAATATATATATATGTCAAAAAGAAAAATATAAAGTATATTGGATTTCCATTTGACTACAGTCAAACTTTGACATCACTTGGCCATGGATACGCTTAGGGAGCTTGGACTAGGGGCAAACTTGGACATCAAACCAGAGGCTGCAAAAGCCGAGTTAAAATTTGCAAATGCATTCCAGCATTTCCATTTGCATTGCTTGGCAATGGAATTTAAGGTGGAAGCAACAAATCTCTCAAAAAAATTATAAAAATAAGTGAGAAAAAGTGGAATCACTAGATCATGCAATTATATGTATATCAAAATCTATAGGAGCTAGAAAATCAAGATAAGTTTGGCAAATGTATTTAGGTTCTCGTAAAAAAAAATTTTATATTAATTTAATTTGTTCATACGATTACTTTAAATATTTCATAATTTGTGATTCAAATCTTAATCCCTTTTCCCGACCTCCTTTATAAAAAAAAGTGCTTGACAGTGATATTTGGACAAGATCAAAGCGAGTTAATGGCTTAATGTCTTAATGGGGTTTAACGGATTGGCAGATACATAGCCAAATCACTAGATTTTGATTTTCTACTGAAGAACCGTTCAATTACTAGGCCAAATCTTAAGTTCTGGAAAAAAATAGCTAGTGTTACCTTTATCTGTGCTAATTTTCTGTCTTTTCTTTAAAGAATGAACTGAGTATGGGTGTGAGTAAGGGGCTAGCAGTTACATAGCCAGGCATTGCTCGATTGCTGATAACCACCAGCAGTAGTTTCCCTTTGATGATCATCCAGAACCTTAGTGATTCAAGTTTTTGAATGGAAATTATCAAATGTGCTTGAAAATGGACAATTGGGATACTCATTTTCAATGAGCATAGTAGATAGTAGATGCTGCGGTATATTACGATGAAAAGGGTGACCCCATGTTTCAGAAATGGGGCCTAAGAGCTTCCCAAATTATGGGTTGCATAAGGAAAAGGATCCCGATGTGTCAATGTTAAAACTGATCCACCAAACGGCCGTTCCAAAAAGCCAAAGCACAAGACAGCAAGTTGAGAAGACTGGTTTTACAAGGCCAATTATTGAAAGAAAAGAACCCAACATCATGTGAGAAAATAAAACACTGTGGTGAAAAAGATAGATGGCAAATTTTCTCAGAAAACTGCACTGCTCGCATGTGTTCGAGTATGCAGACCTTTTGCATGTGTTAGCTTTGGCAAAATGTGGGGGATACCCTGGAAAAGTAAGTTTTCTCGATGTAAGATTTTTGCACAATGCACAAGCACAGCCGAAGTAAAAAAAAAAAAAAACTTTAACATTTGCTTTGGTTGGTTGATATTTACTGGTGAAGTCTATCTCCAATGGTACCTTATGTCGCAATCAAAGGTTGAATTTTCCCATTATAATCGAGAAAGATGAATTAATGCAGTCTGACACATTTTGGCTGTTATATTTACAATGCAACCTTGTCCTTGTTTCATTGATTTTTTGTTATTACTACTGCATATATACCTGTAAATTTTGGTACGAAAAAACTTTGTGCTTTGCAGCAATGATGCCATATTCCCTTTGTTGATAGTTGGCAACAGTTACAGTTCCTTGTATCATGGACATTGATTTATTCACAGAAGTTTTGTATTGTACAAAGAAAAAGAAGAAAAAAGGGTCAATATGCATCAACTGCAGTCTGCAGACTTGCAGCAATTGGTCATGGACACATTTTGGTCCAGGAAAAAGACTTTACCTTTTTCTTTGTTTGTTTGAGAGCTGTAAATCTTCTTAACGGACATGATCAAGCCAAAGAGAATTGCATCTTTTATAAGCATTTGTTCAACATAATGCAGCAATTATTGCCACAGTTAATGTCTTGGAAAGGAATCCAGTAAATTAGAGAAAGGACCAGAAGGAAATTATTTACAGCATAGCAAAATTTCCCTTTTTATAGGGTTCTGATACGAAACCAAGGATATAACAGAAACATATAAATACTGGGATTTGATAAATTTTAACTGTGATTACTCACTTTATTCCCTTCAAAAGCTTGAGTAAAACTAACAAATGGGACACCCAAAAATAAGGAACCAAAAGAAGAAACAAGAGAAAAGGAAAAAAAAAAAATCTTACAATTCAAGCAAACTGTTCAAAGAAAATAACATCATCTCCCTGTTGTCTTTTACTACAGGCTCTTTTTGCATTTCCTTTGTCCTTGACTCTGTATAAATATATTGGCATAACAACAGCGTTTCTTTTTCTGATCCATTAACAGGAATGATTTTGAGGGAGAGATGGCGACAGCTTTTTGGTGCTGAATTTGTTGAATGACCTGTTTCTGTTTGAATGAGCTAAAAATAAGTGATATAGCCACAGTCAAATGGTTGCAGACAGACTCCCACTTAATACTTTTGCTTGTGGTGGGGAGAAAAAACACTGCTCATACACCGACACAAAAGCTTACGGGATTGTGCCAATGTAGCAGTTGCACTAAATGATGGTGCCAACATAGCCAATTCCAGTGATGAAGAAGGTAATTGTTTGGAGGAAAAGGTATACGAAGTAGTTGTTCTTCCCATGGACAAAATCATAGCATCCGCAAAGGAAAAGGAATGCCGCGAATCCCAGCTCCAATGTGTTGAGTCTGCTCAGAGAACAAGAACAAGAAATTACACAAAGAAAAATTCCGAAGCACCAAGTTTCCGGACATATCTATGACTAGAAGCAAACAATAGAATAGAATCACGGGAAGTTAGTTAGGGTAGAAGCCCTTTTTTTTATTTTATATATAAAGGAAGTCGCAGCATGAAAATAGAGTAAAGGGTTGCAGGGAATTGAATCTCAGACTTGCTAAATGTCACCTCTTAAAGGTGGTTACACAAGCCTACTAAACTAAACTGCAGGTTCGGAGCCTTATCTCTTTGCAACTACAATAAAACTGAAATCCATAGAATGTACTCTCTCGGACCACTTGACTGTCTATTTAATAAGATGCCAAGTCAAAGAATCTCAACTACCATAAGGGAGAGAGCAATTCACTAAATATTGGACCATTAGAAGTTATGGGGTTTGGGTGAATTGGAAAAACATTGGTTTTCTTTATAATATGCAGATTTGGTGGAATGTATTTTAAAGAAATAGAAACAAGAAAAGAAGACCTCAGGAAGACTTACCTATCAGTAAATTTGAATCTAAATTTTCTGGGTGCTTTGACATTTGTTTTGTTCTTAGCAGCATCTGCTGCTTTCTTGACAGCATCTCCTAGTTTCTCAGTGACAACCCACTCATTAGCTCTGCCTGCCTCCAGGAGGCCAATGAATGTTGCCTTAGTCCGGTGCAATGACATCACATTCTCGAAAAGAATCCAGTAAAATAACAGGTGGATGGATCTGCAAATCCACAGAAAAACAGTCCTTGCTATTGCAATTAATCTGAAAGAAGATCAACAACACCAGAGAACCAATATAGGGTATTGCATATATATACCTTGGTGTTCCAACTGAGTTTAGAATGGTGATGATTGAAGGAATATAAACGGCTCCCCAAATGGGAACTTTAACTTCAGGAACCAAAATCGTAAGAGGAAGAACAACACAGTAAAAGAAAAAGGTGACCATATGAGCAGTGATCTTTCGGACGAAGAAGAAGCTGTAGATAACATATACTTTCTTCCAGAATTTCACTTTCTGCAATCCGTAATTAAATAAATCAATTTAAAGTGTAAGATGTAAAAAGGAGAAGTGACATTCTTAAAAACTACAACCTTATATAAGATAATTTACAGCAATCCCAACCTTGTTTTGAATGATCTCCCACACCATTTTCCTGAACAGATTAGCAGGACCACAAGACCATCTATGTTGCTGGAAACGGAAGGCCTTAAAAGTACTAGGAAGTTCACTTTTTACCTGAGTAATTATAAGACATGGGGAAGCATAAGTTACCTGCACACTTAAAGGAGACTATGCATTGCAGAATCACACAAAGATATACCTGAAGATCACCAAGGTAAACAAATTTCCATCCCCTAAGACTAGCTCGGACGGCAAGGTCCATGTCCTCCACGGTGGTTCTATCCTTCCACCCACCTGCCTCATTAATGGCTGCAATTCTCCAAATACCAGCAGTTCCTGCATATTTGGTTCATGTATACTTTTAAGTTATAGCCAGTAACTGATAACAACCTTTACATGGGACATCGATCTAATGAACTTTCTTAATGTTTAAGTGACTAATTACCATCATTTATGAATAATTTGATCATGACATTTGACAATGATTAAAACTTGCAGAATTTCCAGTCACTCTTAAACACCAACTACACCTATTTTTGTAATAGCAGAGGCATCATCACTTAGGAAACTAAAAACTTTGAGGGCGTCCTGGGCTCAAAACCAAACCATTGTAAAAAGATTTTGAGAAATAGGGTTTTTACCATTAAAACCAAAGAAAGCATGAGTTGATGATCCAACTTCCTGCTCCACTGTGAAATGGTAATCCAGTGACATCTCTTGCATTCTTGTTAACAAGCATTCGTCTGCATTCACTGCAAAAAAAAACGATCATCATTTTAGTAAGATTATTCAAGATAATCACGAGTGTTCAATTTCAAGAAATTCATAATAACATTTATCATACACATAAAATTAAAATCAATTTGAATTGGAAACTTAATTATCATCACTTTCAAAAGATTATCAATTTGGATTCAAATTTTAACATTTACAATCATGCCAGTAAAACTACTCTCAAATTTTTTTACATGATTTTAAATTTTGTGAGATAAAGACATTAGTTGATGGCATGTTGGCAGTTAATTCCTTCATTGGAATCCTAGTAACGTAGAGGAAACAAACAAAAATGAAAGCCGTTTAGGCTTTCTTGTCCTCATGTAGTTCAAATTGTGATGTGCCACGTCACAAGAACAAGAAGGACTTCTAAAATCTAAGGAACTGTTTGTCTCGTTAATTCATGCAACCAAACAAACGTTTTGAGCATTCTTTTTTTTTCAAAAAAGAAATAATCCAAGTGTCGGCGAAGTGGAGTAAGGTCCACCACTTAGGGTACTACCGCTCGCATCTTAACTTTACCTTTAGCTGGGTCCCAATTTTTTACTTAAAAATTTTGAAACGGCACGTGGAAAGCGGAGTGGCTGCTGTGGACCAAATGACAATTTTAACCTCCATGCTCTTATGTTAACCTGCTCTTGACCACGTGATTCGTAGAATCTGGGTCTGTAATCCAAAGAGCAAAATCCCACTATTTTTTTTTTCTATTATTCTAAAATGACGAAACCACCCCGGAAATCACATGCAAGTTACTACTACCAAAGAATAAAGCTTATTATTAATCACCTATTAGCTAAAGCTAATCCTTTAAGCTCATTTTACTAAGAAAAAAAAAGTCTACAATTTCCCTAACAAAGCAAGAAAATAAAAAGCCATTCGACAATATTTTTGCAACAAAATAATTATTTCAAATCAGTAAATATCATTTTCATTTAATTTTGGCAGGTGAACATGTTTTTCAAAATTTTTAATTTTGATTATTAAATTATTTATTTATTGATTATTATTTTTGGAAATTCCTAATGTAAATATTTCTATGGAAAGTATAAATGATACTAAAAGAAAATTAAAATTCCCTTTGACAAATAATAAGAGTATTATTGTGTTACAATTTCATTTTATTTATTTTTATTTAATCATAAAATAAAATTATGATACGATGCCAAAGGTCCCAAACAAATAAGATTTTGGTTTTATAAATTAGTCCGTTTTTAATGGTGGAAATGTCTAATTTACTCACATAATTAAATTTCGTATGCTCATTTGTATTTAATTTGATTAGATGTTATGACACTATGCTAAATTCTCAAAGATGGGTCCCATTAACAGTGATGTATGATCAAGGTGACTGAGGCAATATGGGTCCCACACCGTGATTGGTGGGTTTTTTATGGACCCACCTTTATCCCCATGCAGTTAGCATCCAATTCCGCCGACGAAAACCAAAACCCGGTCTGAGGGTAAAACAAAAAAAAAAAGTTCACAAAAAAAAAAAAAAAAACCTAAGTGTAAGACCACCGACACTTTTAGAAATTAAAGCAGAAAGGAAATAAAAGGACATGAATGAGAGCAATTATTAATAAAATTATTTTAATATAATGTTTTTTTTATTAATTGAGGTTTAATGGAAAAGTGGGAAGTGGGGGTTTAGCATTATTATTGCATACCAAATCTCCAGCGAGCTTGAACGAGAGCAATGTCAGGGTTGTGGACCAAGAAAGGGATGCTTCTTCTAAGGAAGTCAGGCTCTGGCCTGAAATCAGCATCGATGATGACCACAAATTCACAATGTTTGACATAGCTTCTCTTCAATCCTTCTTTCAAGGCTCCAGCTTTGTAACCTGTTCGGTTTTCCCTGATTTGGTACGTTATGTTTATTCCTTTGCTTGCCCACCTCAGGCACTCTTGCTCTACCATTAGCTGCATCAAAATCCCATTTTGCCCATTTTAAAGTCATTGGTGATAACATTGAAATCAAAGCTGAAAGTTGAAGAATTGAATGATGGATACATTGCTATAAAGAAAGAGGTGATCAAAAGGCTGAAGATTAGTTGAAATGAAGGAAATGGGTGAGCAAATGCATTGATGGAAGACAAATATGAAGAGAAATATGCATTTGGGGAGTGTTTAAAGTGATTGATTTTGACTTTTGGAAGATTTACCTTGATAGCAGGGTCAGTTGAATCATCGAGTACTTGGATCACGAGACGATCAGACGGCCATGAAAGCCCACAAGCTGCGCCAATGGAGATCTTGTAAACCTGTTCCAAGGACATAAAAAACAAAAAAATAAAAAATAAAGCACCAAACTTTTGAGTTTTAGATGTCTGAAACCCAGAAATAAAATGCCGAAAAGAAGCAAGCTCAACGAGAAGGAAACAGAGAAAGAACAGAGGAGAAGACACTGACCTCTTTTTCATTGAACATTGGGATTTGGACTAGAACAACAGGGAAATTTGAGCTACCAAGTTCCACATCATCCTGAATAGGCTCAAATTTGTAACGCTGCTCTGGTTTTTTCCAGAACAGCTTAACAAGAATAATGACAATTCCCATGTAAAGCCGCTCCATGAAGAGCATGAGCGACATAGCTAAGCAAACGTAGACACCAAGAGTCAGTACAGGAACTATTAATGGTGCTTTGATTAGCTCCCATATCAAACCAATTTGGCCTGTAATATCATCTCTTGACACTTGAAATGATTCTGGAATCAGAAGCTTTGGTGAAATTTGCGCCATATCCGCCTCTCTCTCTCCCACTCAGCAGAGCAGAGGAAAACAGAGAAAAAAAAAAACAGGGGATGGTTATTTGTCAGCCCTCCCCTTTAACTCTCTCACAAATCTGTTGCCAGCCAATGCAGCTTCTGTTTCTTTCTATGAAAAAACAGATAGGAAGCGAGGCAATGCAAGAGAGAAAGAGAGAGAGAGAGATGCAGAGAGACTGTGAGACAGAAAGCAGGGCAATATATGGAGAGAGAAAAAGGGTCGTTTTATAGTCAGATTTGGCCTTCTTTTTTTTTTTTTTGGTGACCATAAAAGCTCAGAACATTAACTGTTGCAACTTGAGGATAGAGTGTGAACTTTGATGAGTTCAGTTTAGTTCAGTTTGCAAAGATTTACAAGGTTTTATTTCCATGGGCAAAGGACATTTTTGTCATTAAAAAAGAGAAAACGATTTGAGTTACTTAAATAGCCTGAACATTTTTTCACTTTTACGATGTTGTGGCATTTTCTGATTGACTGTTGTTGCAAGCTGGCTTCAATGGCAAAAGCCAAAGGTTAAACACTCCCACTTTTTTCAGGAAATTTTAACTAACTGCCTGAACCTAAAAGTTAAAAAGTACATGTTGGGAGGATTGAAGAAGTGTATAGAGGAAAGACTTCTACTTCAGGGCAAGAATCATAATAAGGTTATTAGTAAAAATTGCCCTTGACAAAGCATAACCTGGAAAAGTAGTTTTCCCTTCACAGTTTCTTTTCTAACCAAATGTTTATTTGTTTTGTGCCTTTGTAATTATATTTGATGATTTGTATATTCGTATAAAATATTAAAATTTATATATTTGTATCATATTTTATATAAAATTATTTGTCATAATTTATGTTAATAATAAAACATAAAATATAATTTTTTTGTTAAATTTATATGTAATTATTATTATAATTTAAATTGTATAATTTTAAATTTTATTTTTATATTATATTCATATCATGTTACTGTATCATATTTTAAATTATCATATCTATTTTTTATCTTTTGACTGAAAGAGTATTATTCAAATTGTCATTGAAATAACTGTTACCACCGTGTTATTGAATCATCAAAATTCATATAAAAATAATTTTTAGAAGTTTCTTTAATGTGCATTTCATTTGAATTAATGTTAGACAAGAAGATTTTATTACTCATAAATGGTATTTTCCAAACACTAACTGAAGCATTTACTAGAATGGGACAATCAAAAGAAAAAAAAAATTTCCCTATTAACTCTTTTTCCTTTCTTAATGAGAAGGGGGTAGCTGCAAATTTGAATCCAGTCATGAAAATACTTTCAACAATTCTATCCTTCAGCATTAATGGCCATGAATGAAGAATCTTCTCTCTATTGTTAATCAATGTTTGATTACCCTTTGAGTGGAATTTTCAAATACATTGCATTATTACAGGAGGAATGATGATTTTCTATCAATCTTATGTACCCATATTTTTCATGGAAGGTTTTGTAGTATCTTATTTGGGGCCAAACTTCTATCCCCCAAAGGCTAAGATCTTTGATGAGGTAACCCTTAAAGTTTAGGAAAGAAAATTAAGATGGGGGGAATATTTATCTCCATTGCCTTTGCTCTATAATTCTATATGCAAAGAAGTACATCTGCTTTGTGACATTAAATAAATTAGATTCTGGCATGGGGGAGTTTGAAACACCTTATGAATGCTTATTATTCCTTCAAAAAAGATATACCTTCAATGACTTTGCCTTGAAGAAAGCTTAAAGGGCTCTCATTTCATGTCTTGTGGGTTAAAAGAATCTAATACTAATGCACCAAACTTAAGAAAAAGATATACTTCAAGTTCATGTTGAGGACAGTCAAATTGATAATGCAATCTAGTAGCTAGGTAGAAGGGAGTTAAAAATAAATCCGATTCATACGCTTATCTTTAAAACATGACATTCAATTAATTTAAAATTCAAATTTCAATATCTACAACTGCTTCTCGTGTCTTCGGATTGCAACTTCTGAAACACTTCTACTTCTATATACTATCATACTTCTTTTTAGTCTAAAAGTTTATAGCAAGTGGTATTTGGTAAATAATAGATTAGGTTTTTCTTTTTGAGGAGATAATGGAATCTCATGATAAATTAGTATTAAACTTGTTTATAATTGTTTTACAAAGCTTCTTTCTTCCATTATGGATTGAGTTTGCAATATACAAAATGATGTTAGATTTTCCATCATAATCAAAACAATTTAACAAAAACATGAAAGCATGTGCTTTTGTTTGTATTTTCAAACACAATCCCTCCGCACATAATGCCACTCAACCAGGTGCTTAAGTCCATCAATTTCAAACCTAACACTACTTTAATTGCATTTCGTCTTTCTTTTTCATCGCTTTCTATTGCGCTAATTAGAAACTGTATTAAATTGACTGCAAAACTGTATTTTGACCATGGCCAAAATATATGCCTACACACATATTCAGCGAATAAGTGATCGTTAATTCCATTGCTTATTAAGTTCATTTTTTGTTTTTTTTTTTTTTTTAATTTGAGTGAAAAGGATTCGGAATTTAGTTCTATGAGTAAAAAAATTTGTACATTTATTATTGAGTCAAATATTTAGATAAATATTTTTATTTTTTAAGTGATATTTAAAAATGATATTAAACATTATTTTAAAAATTAAGTGGAGATTTGAATTTCATCGAACTTTTAGTACAATATAATTAAATTCATCATACTATCAATTAAATTTAAATATCAATTTTAGTAAAATTTATTTAATATAAATTTTTTTTTAATCAGAACTACAACAACTTTTTTAATTATAATTATAATAATTTTATTATTATTTTAATCTCATTAAAATTAATTACATCCTTCGTTCAAATAGAGCCTAAGTTTAGGTAAACCAAAGTGACGGTGCAAATTGCAAATTTGGGAGGCTGTGCGCATGGAAATATCGGCAAGTGACTTAAAAGATAAGATATTATTCAAGCCGGGATCCTTTTTTGAGCCTAGAGTGGTGTGAGCCACGCTTTTGTCTCCACTCACGAAAATAATTCATGAAAAAGGTGGGCTCACATTCCATTCTTTACTGAAATTCTGCATTATTTCTCATTTCTAAAGTCCAAAATGTACAACCATGTGAAGATACAATAAATTCCAGACTCGCTTAACCCGGGAAAAAAAAAAGTAAAAAGGGGGTAAATATCATCCATAACCCTTAATTTTTTTTATTTTAATTACATTTTAGTCCCTAACTTATAAATTATTTCATTCGAATTCTTAATGTTTTGAAGTTGTTTCATTTTGATCCTTTTGTTATATTATTTATTAGCAAGTGAGAAAAATTTCAGTGTATGATATCGAGTGTTCATGTAACACACCATGTAATTTACAATATATATGAAAATATTACATCAATTTGATAAAAATATCAAAATGGAACCATCTTAAAAAGTTAAGGATCTAAATGTAACAATGCAAAGATTATGGATTAAAGTGACATCGAAATAAAAGTTAGAGATTGTAGGTGAAATTTATCCAATAAAAGGGGACATATCTTATTCTTAATATTAATTTGTGCTTATTTTTGTTGCCAAGGACCTGTTAATGATCACGTGGATCTTTAATGACATCAAAGTCATTAAGCCATGCCATGATCCTTGACACAAAGGTCATCATGTTTGTCATTAATTTTGTCAAATTTTGCGACACTTTAATATTTCAAATTGGGGACTACTTGTTATCTTAATTCTAGAATTCACCACTTCCACTACCCGATTAATTAGTCAAACATAAAGGAAAGCGAAAACCCAAATAAATAAATAAATAAATTAATAAAAATAAAACCTCGGTGTAAAAGTTCAGCAAGCCATGTACCAAACTTTGGTCTTTCCATTTTCTAATGTAAATCCAGCTTAGCTTCTTGTCCAATGAGTACGGACTGCTAAAACTACCAATAGTCTTCGAAATTACTTGCAGATAAATTGTAAGAATTACTATCAAACAACACAATCTTTGTGGCTAGTCGTCCATATCGATCTTCCTTCGTAGAATTTAAAAGATGAAGCCAATCACGAAAATAATGTGCCAAAAGGTTAGACATGGGTGACCTACCATTGTGAGAATGGGACGTACGTGGAACCCATTCTCTCAACCTCTTTTCTTTCTTTTTTTTTGAAGTTACACTCGTAATTAAATATATAATTGATCGAATTCGAATTGATATAGTATTAAGTTTGAAATTGAGTTTGACTTTAAATTTAAGATTCAAATTTTAGTTTGAGTTCAATCAAATTTTATTTTGTAATTCGAAATTAACTCAAGATAGAAATAAAGTTACTAAAACTCACTTGATTAAACTCGATTAACATGTAAAAATAAATTCGATTCTTATATTTGACAAAAATTCAATTATTTATATTCAAGCTTGAGATATTTTATTAACTAAAATAATTAAAATATAAAAGCTTAATTGACATGTAAAAATAAATTCGATTCTTATATTTGACAAAAATTTAATTATTTATGTTCGAGCTTAAGATATTTTATTAACTAAAATAATTAAAATATATTAAAATATATAAGCTTTATTAATGCATAAAAATAAGCTTGATTTTTATATTCAATAAAAGACTCAATTATTTATATTCGAGCTCAAAATATCTTATTAATTAAAATATATTAAAATATAAAATTTGATTAAGTTTGCGAACTTTTCGAATCAGATATAAAAATATTAGAACTCAATTTAATTGATAAGTTGAACTACTCGAGCTTAAGTTCAACTCGAAAATAATCAAACTGAATTTAAATTTTATTCGAGTCGAACTCAAATAATTTTCGAGTACTAATATATCATTTATACTTGTACTCTTAATCAAGTATTTCATTTATATAATCAACTATTATATCACTAAATAATCAATTAATAAACTATAACTTTATTAAACTACCAAAACCACAAATAATAAGATTTGAACCTAAGATCTTAAAATTTTAAAACCTCTTCTTTACCATTAAATCAAGGCCTCATTGGCCTCAATTTCTTTTCTTTCTAGACTTTACCATAAATCAATGTCATTAATAGCTTCTTTTTTTTTTTTTTTGTTAGCCATTGTAATATCAAAATAAATTAAAATTATTGGTAAAAGGTCGATGAAGTCTTCATTCTTAATTTTTTTGATGACAAAGAACAAATTATGTAATTTTTATACTTCAAATTAAATTTCATTATACGAAATTTAGGTAGAATTATTTTGTTTTGTTGATTAATTTAAAAAAAAAAAAAAACTATCACATCTATTAAATTTCCCTGTCACGATTAATAAAATGATAC